TTTGATTTATTTTTTCTGGAAAGTTAGTTTATATTTGGGATTGGGATGCCAACCCCATGTCCAACCTCTCCTCCTTTATTCGGGCTTGGGACCGGCAGTAGCCCGGAAGGGTCTACAGGCGGAGTTACATTACAGAATAATCTATAGAAATATGTGTATGCGAGGGAATATGGTGCTATCTATGACCAGTTTGTTGAAGGCACATCGGTTTGCAAAGCTCTCACCATTTTCATTCTATGATGTCTTCATTTCTGTTGTTGTTCATTCCAACCTTGGCGTTTAGGTCCCTCATTAGAATAGTCAAGTCTTTTATTGGACAGTTCTAAACTATTGACTGCAGCCTAACATAGGACTGATCCTTAACGTCCTCATTGTTATTGCTGGTAGGCGCATAACGTTAAATGATATTCATAATAATCTCCTCTTTCATTCTCTTGAAAGGTGCTTTGATGATTCCGGGTCCATGAGATTTCCATTCTATTTGTGCTTTTTGCGCTTGTTTGAACAGTATCAGTGGACCTTCTTGTGTGTGTAAGGAGTTTTCTTCTTCTTGACTGTAATGTAACAGCAGCTCTCCTAAATGTCTTAAATCCTCTGCAACTTGAATGGTTCTTCCGGTCTCCCGCAATGTACGGACATTACATGTACCTATACAAATTTTGCTGCGGTTAGGAGTGTAGTGAGTCATTCATTGTCTAGTTCACATGACTTGTCCCACTTGTATTTTGACCCTGTCACTCATTCGTCACTTGTCTTCATGTGTGTGCATGCCTATTTAGCTTACTAAGTGTCCGTCTTATTTTTGTGTGACTATAAATTCTTGGTGATGCTTTATCCCTTGGAGTTGGCCCACTAGCCTTCTCCACTTCGCATCATCCATTCATTCATCGATTCGCTTGCTTGCTTTCTAGGACTGGCATGACGATTTTATCTTTGAGTGTGTGTAGTTTGCTGATCTATTTGTGGCGTGCCAAAATAAACGTATTCAACACCTCGAGTTCACCTTCCTCAGAAGCTATTTAGTAACGACTGTCTGGACGAGCTAATTACGAAGCTCAAGAACACTTCGGATACCGACCGTCACGAAACTAGTGATAATTCGCACACCACATAAATGATGAGCCTGCTGTCGAAACTAACGCACATCACAGGAAAAGGGACATTATCCTCGTGACTTCCGAAAAAATTCGGCTTTCATCATGAGCCGTCATAACTTTTCTAACTGATGGCCTTTCAACTACTAGGGTACAGTTTAAATTATTTTCTCTGTTTAGGGTTTTTCCAGAAACTTTGTTTTCCATCAGATGGATATCCAACCGTCCACCTTTATCCGGGCTTGCGACTGATAATAATCATAGAAGGGCTCCAGATAGGTTTAGAGAGAAATATAATCATCATCATTGATGTTATCTCTTCGAAAAGATCGTTTTTCAGCCTCCTAGTCGAATAGCTTATTATAGGAGATTATTACGTCGACATATTGATCAATTCACTCTATATCACTATTAGGATCGGTGGCTTATCACACTACCAGTGATTAATGAACAGTGCTTGAAACCTCAACGCATATCGGCCCTCAAGTTCCTTCCTAACCAGTGTTCAGTGGGAAGACGAAATTAAGAACAATGTACATATGTCAATTTAACTCAAAACCTATATTATTAAAAAGAGTAAATTCTTGGTAATTTCTCAATATTAACAAGAAATCACTAGTCGCGCATAACCCTAACCCAAAGGGAATTCGACACTAAATAAATTATCAATAATTGTAGGATAAGATACACAACAACACTTTATCAGCCCAACGAAAGTTTACAAACAGAAAAACATAAGCCTACAATAATAAAGAAAGAAAAACGATATTAAGAGAATATTATGAATTTATTTCATTAATGGGAACTTTTCATTTAGCAGTATTCCAAAAAACTCTTAATTGGAATCGAATTCGATAAGTGAATATCGTTTATTAAAAGGCAATAATTGAGGAAGTATTAAGGTATTGTTTAAACGATTGTTTATCCATCAGTTATTTATATGAATATTCTAAGAAAAGAAAAGTGAGTAGAGGTATAAAAACAGAATTATTGGTAATCAAAGAATTACTCCATAGTTTATATAATACATACATACTTGACTAGCTGCACAAAACTCACATATAGTGCATGAAATCAAAAATTATCATTAACAACTTTAATCATATTTGTGATTTCAGTTTATAATTTAAAGAAACCACTTTCCAGAAATTTGTGGTTCCCAAAAGTGTACAAATTAAAATCAACCAGTGGTAGATCTTATCTAGTTAATTTTATGTTGTCTGGAATTTTCTATATTAATTTGAACTACTGTTTTTCGTTCCTTTCGTAGACGCCAGACTTTAAGATCAACGGGCTAGGTCCCGTAAGGACTCATCATGTACCGACCAAGTCGCGAAATTATGGATCATTGTACAATAATCTAGTGAAAACAAATCACGAGAAAGCATTTGATAGTATGGACAAGAAAGTATTATGGAGGCTTCTTTGACACTTTGGTGTGGCTAAGAAGATAGTCAACAATGTACACAATTTGTTCGATGGATTAAACTGAGAAATTCTGCATGCAGAACAGCTTACAGATTCATTCTAAGTGAATAATGGTGTCAGATAAGGTTTCTTACTCTCATCCATTCTCCTTCTCTTGCTAGTTGACCGGATTGTGAAGGAAAGCACGCAATACAGTGGACAGTCAGGATGCGACTGAACGGTCTGGACTTTACAGATGATCCAGATCTTCTACAGTACACGCAACAGCAAATGCAAGAGAAGACGACCAGTGTAGCAACCACCTTTGGAGCAGTAGGTATCAACATGCACAAGAGGAGAAGCAGCATCCTCCGATACAACACAACATGCACCAGTCGAGTCGCACTCGACGCAGAAGCTTTGGAAGATGTAGGAACTTTTACATGTCTGGGTAGCATCAGTGATAAACAAGGTGGATCTAATGCAGATGTAAATGAACGTATCAGCAAAGCAAGGGCGGAATTTCGAAAACTGAAAGACTCTTCGAATTCAAAACAAAAGTCTGTCAACCAACAGCAAAGTCAGAATTTTTAACACAAACTTCAAGACAGTTCCACTTTATTGAATGGAAACTTGAAGAACTATGAAAACCATCATCCACAAGTTACCGGTATTTTTGTGAACGGATTTCTACGTAAGATACTGAGTATGGGTTTGCCATACACCATCAGCAATAACCTACAAACAAACGTGAAAAGAATGAATATTGAATGGGAGAACTGGAAAAGAGAGGTGAAAATAGAGTTGGTTGGAGAATGGTGTTTGACGAACTATGTTCCACGAGGAGAAGGTTCGGTCAGTGGATCAGTCGGGGTTGTTTACTAACACCAGGTCCCGTAATAGAATGCCTAAACTGTCTAGTACTCTTTGGTTTTCTACTGTACTTCGACTGAAATCATTATTTGTGAATAAAAACTGTAAACTCAAACAATCCCCACAAAATTTCTCTGACCACAGTTTTAATAATTTAGTTTATAGAATAAAATAAACTCGTTGTTTTTCCTCAATGTTCTTGATCAATTAAAGTGAATATCAGAAAGGGGCAAAAAACATTTTTTAAATTTAGAAGAGCATTTGTTTAGGTTTTGTTAGCTAAATTATTCATGTCAAAATTTTATTTTTTGGAACCATGAATCGATCAATGTTAGACCACCATTAGAAACCTGGAAACACTGGACGGCCGTTTCGTCCTGGTATGGGACTCATCAGCAGTGTGCATCTACGACTCCTGCACCCCGCAGTATTCGAACCCAGGACCTTCGGTATTGTGCGCGAAGATTTTTCTTGTTGATAGTATGAGAAACTCCGAAATAAATAAAGAGAATTGATAGTAATCATAGGTTTTAAAAAATGTACATAGAATTTAATATGAAAATTGACAGTTTTAAGCATACAAGCGTATGTTATTTATATCTAATATATATTGGAGTGTTTCAATAGTTTGTGGTAGCTACTTAAAGAAAATGTATGCATGCAAAAAAGGTGCACTGTTAGAAAATGTATTTATGAGTTTTTAGAACAAGTTGAAGTCATTAAAGTATTATGTGTAATTATTGGAGTAAATCGCATTAATTCATGTGATGATTAACTTAAATGATCCTAATTCAAATATTCGTCTCCAGCACTTTATAAACAACTTTGGTAGATCACTGAACATTAAACCAATATGACTAACTGCTCTTATGAGTAAAGATTTTATTATTAGTTAGGTAGAGTGTAGATATGCGAATGCACTCAAACATACACACATATATATATATATATATATATATATATATATATATATATATACTAATTGATTAATTTACGAAAATATAAAACCATTTAGAAAGAGATTGGAACAAGTGAAATGAAAGCTGTAATTAACTAATTTTCTATGACGTAAAACTGGAGCAGAAATGTTATCATAACAAAAGTCATAGAACAGTGAAGAAAACTATATTAAAAAAACATTCAACAACATGAAAAACACTACATTTACAGAATTATATAAATCTATGAAATCTTTAGAAATATATCATCAACACAACTCACATAACACAAAACAATACATAGAACAGTAGACAAATGAGGTAAATATGGCAACAGTCTCATTAACCAATAATATCATGATGATTGACGAACATGTACACACACTCAATAAAACGAATTATAACAATTTTCAATTTTTTAAATAGTCTTTGCCATATTTGATAAATTACAACAATGCAATAGTGCATCAATAAAAACCGATTCTACCAAGATCGATCTACTTCTGATTGGTTGTTGCATCATATGCATGTGACCATGAAATGAAAGACAGCCAATTGAAATCAGCACAATGAATTGACCAGTTATCTTAACGAAAAGAAAAGCCACTGTAAAATGATAAAAATACGAATAACTATGAAAAAGATTTCATCAATGTCAATGACAGTGCAAAATTGAAAACCTTAAAAAATGGAACGACCTCCAACTATTCCTATTTCAAATCGTAACTCATTTGGATATCGGTCTGGTGGAAATTTGTTAAATTCTATCACACCGTGTAAAGAATATTACACGCATGATTCTTATGGCAAGTCTAAATACTGCATTGAAGTAGATTTACAGGGTTATCCACAAGAAAGTATCCGAATCACACGACAATCACAAGATGTAACAATAAGTTTGAATTATGAAGAAATTAAACCAACTGGAGAAAAATATAAACAAGAATTCAAGCGTGAAATTCAATTACCACAATCTGTCGATTTAAATACACTGAAAAGTACTATTCTGAATAAAAATACATTATTATTATGTGCTGATGTAAATAGACGTGAACAACCAATTTTAAGAAGTTCACAAATGAGTCCTAATTCAAAACGTCATATTAATTGGGGATTATCACATTCACTGCCATATCATAATTCAATACCAGATTCACCTAGACTACGTACATCATTTTCAACTGAAACACGACATCGAAATTCATCATTTACAAATTTACCAAGTGATTTCAATAAATCATTTCGTATGAAAAAACGTAGTTCAACCACTTACCAGAATACACATCAATCATCAAATCATTATAGTAGAAGTAGTTTTACTACAAAACCTGAACCAATTAATATACCTGTACGTGTTGAAACCAATCAATGCCAGAATCATTCAATTCCTGTCAGTGATGTACATAATATCCATGTGGAAGTTACAAAGCATCAACCAGTTCATCATGTGAAACAATCTTCTAAGCAATTCAATTCAATTCATCATAATCATCATCATCAGCAGCAGCAACAATCTCAATCACAGTTCTTACAGAATAATCATAGTAGTAGTCAGAATAATAATAATTACTATTATTCACAAAATGAATATAAAGTATTAAATAGTCATACATCAAAATCTCAACGTCCATTACATATAATTCCAATAACAAATAATTTCGATGAAAATGATTTTATAAAAAATCATAATATTACAACAAATCGTTTAATTAATCATACTACAACAGCAACTACAACAAAAACTAATATGAACAGTAATAATATGAATAATAATTTCTCAATAAAACCTACTAAATTTTATATACAAAGTATGAAAGTTGGCATAGATGTAAAACCAGAAGATTTAAATATTCATTTAAAAAATGGTTTACTTACAATTATGATTAAACAAAAATGTGATAATATTGACAGAAATCAACAAACAAAAATTGCACGTGAATTTTTACATGAAAATACCATACCAATTAATGTTGATCAAAGTAAATTAATTGCAAAGTTGGATAAGGGAATATTAACATGGGAAGCACCATATATGACAACAACAACAACAACCGGCGATCCAATTGAAATTCCAGGATAAACGAACTTCAACTGCAATGATAATAATAATAGTAATACTTGAATCATGTAAAAATCCACACATTCAATAATCAATCATTAATGATAATATATAGATGATCAATAGATTTATACAAATTTATTCTTTATATTGTATGTCATATTTACTTGTTTGTTTTACTTTTTTGTGAAAGATTCATCTTTATATATTTATTCTATGAGAGGATAACTATCACACTATCAAGATTAACATTTAGAAAAAAACAAAATCGATTATATTGTACATTCACACTCAAGTGAATTAATTATTTGTTCTTTTTTTTTGTATTCATCAATTGAAACAGAAATTCAGAATTCTTGTTTGTTTATTTGCCTTTTACTTGTCAAATATTTTAGTTTCATTCAGACATAATTTATAATGTGTTATACTAATGATAATAATAATCATCGTGAGCATGAATTAATTTTTTTCTCATTAAAATATCTATCTTCCGACTGTGCAAATGACAGATAAGCAGACTATGAAAGAATTCTTAACCTTCCACTGAAATATATGTTGGACAGCATCAGTGCAACTCCCTGTGTATGTGAAGCATTTTCATCTTCATGACCAGAGTATAACAGCAGTTCCCCTGAATCTATTCTCGGTTGTCCTACCTGCATCCAATGCGTTTCGTTGATTCCAAGTGCTTCCATGTTGAATCTTCTGATTTCTGCAGCAACTTGAAATAGTCTTCCAGTCTCCCACAATGTTCGAATGTTCCATTTACCTTAAAGAATTGTTGCTGTGATTGACAGAAATGGGCATCGGAATTGTGACTTCCGAGGGAACACAGCTTTCATCACTAGACATGATAATTCTTCTCCCAACTGACAGTACAGAGTTAAAATCGTTTGAATTATTTGTTCTGGTTGGCGTTTTTTAGCGATTTATTTGTTTCTGTGGGATCGGGTCGCCAACCACATGCTCAACACTCCTCCTTTATCTGTCTTCTGAACTGGCAGTAGCCCCGAAGGGTTTTGCAGGCAGAGTTACTGAAATATGTATGTATATATATAACACAATTCTTAATAATGTTGTACTTTTTCGGTGACTTTTTAAAGTCATTCGTAAATCGATAAATTTGAAAATTAAAAACTATCTGCGTGTATGTTTTCTTATTGAAACTTAATACATACAGTTTAATTAGATAGATTTAAGTAAATTTATGATAACTAATTAACTAGTCTAGTTTCGAAATAGTTTAGTTGAAGTAATTTGTAAATCTACAGTAACAATGTTTTTGTAAAAAAAATTACGAACTGTATTTCTGTCATGTTAAACACGTAGGTAAGTTATTTACATGCTGTAAATTCTGTTATGATGTTACTGAAATGTTTTTAATGAAATATTCTTATCAATTTTCTGTAGAAATGCATTTTTATGATGATAATTGAATTTAATAATTTCATAAACCTGTGAAGCACAAGTCGTTAACAACTTTAAAGTTGCATATATGTGTAGTAATTGTGGTGTTGTTTCGTTCTCTGAACTGGAGGTTTTGTTTGTGGAGCTTTCATTGTTCTTCTGAACAACATCATTAGCACAAACTTAAAATAGGAGTGAATTTTTCGAAAGCTCCAAAACCAAAACATCCAGTTCAGAGAACGAAACACCTACACAATCATCTACCTCAGCTAAACATTTTCTCCACCATCTGAATATGTGTAGTAATCAATTGATGATTTGTTTATCACTGAGTAATTTTCAAAGTCATGCTTCATAAGTCTTGTCCAGTGTGGATAAATTTTTATCAATCGATTTCCCAATGTGTCAACTAGTCTACATGACTTGACACATAACACATGCACTTTGTCACAATAGTAGTTAGTTATAAGTAGCTGACGGGATATTGTACTTGATCTATGTTTTGTCCAATTTGGCATCTGTCAGAGAGATGTGTCTGTATTCTTGATGAGGCTGATGATTATTTTACTGACAATGTTGAATTTTATGGAAGATTGTTAAATTTTGGTGTAATTATTCCCGAATGAAGCTGCTACCTTAATGTGGTGGTCGGGCTTGCCTATCGTGATGACCCAACCGAGCTATATTGGCTGGAACTTCTGTTCCTGAAGGTTCTACCATGCCAGGCAGGTCGATTGGAGAACGATGAGACTAAAAGCATCAAGGTCTGAGGGCGAAGTCAAACTGCTTCTTATAGAGGGGTGTGACAGCAATAAGTTGTTTGCCTCGGACAACCAGCATGTGCAGCGATGCTGCCTTCTCACAAGGAAGGAAGGGTTAGTGATCGTCGACCCTACAAATGTCACACCTCATCCTACTTCACGGATTCCCGTCTACAGCAGTAAGGGTGACCACTAGGGGCTTTCAAGAGCGGAGCTAATACTCAAAAAACCCTTCATTAAAAGGCCATGCGTGACCGTCCTCAAGCAGTTGTCCACTGGGCTCTGCGGTCATGCACCCAGGTCTCTAAGACCAACACTTATCCACTTCCTTTTCAGGTTCCTCAAGAAACAACCTTCCAGGGTGTGGGCAGCCATGAAGTGACAACCGCCCTCATAACCGTAACAACACGCGAGACCAAATATGTCATAATCAAATCCTTCCTAGACCCTCTAATACCTCTCTTATCTCCACGACTAACTCTTTTCACATTCCTTTATCACACTGCACAGCTAATTCAAACGATGAGAGTTCACAAAACATCATTTATGGACTCCTGAAACCCCGCTCTATACTACATGTTGGAGCTTTTAATGTACGGACATTGTGTCGAATAGGGCAACAGGCTTCCTTAGCTAGGACATTAGAATCTCGCTTAATCGATGTATCCTGCGTCTCGGAATATTGATTGTTAAATTTTGATGAAATTAGACGGTTGGAAGGTGGACAAGTGAGGTATGAATTTCTCATTTTAAAATTGTTCACCAATCGACAAGAATACAGGTTAAAATACGATGACTGTTATTGCGGTAGACCATTTGTAAATCACTAGATATTTGCTTAGATATTCTAGGGTTATCCGATGAAATGAAGTCTTAGGATTATAAAGTTAAGGCGGAAACAATACACATGCAATGATCGACTGTTTATTTTAGTAGTGATAAATTATCTCATTATTTCTAGTGACTTCAATCAATCAAATTCTTTAATTTTTTGAGCTTGTAAACTCAACTGAGTATTGAATTCGTACTGCTGAGGATTTACATTCTATGATGAACCAATTATCCAGTGCTTTATGGCGCAAACCATGAAACCTATCTGACTTCACAAAGAAGTAACAGATAACCTATATTTGGCTCTGACTACGAACTGTCTGAATTTCCTTGTCCTTTCTGCTCTCAAACTCTCTTGCTTTTCATAGTTCATTTTGTTGCCTTTTTAATTTCACTTTTAACTTTAGATGTTGAAGTTACTTTTTTCTAAACAGATTAACACACTCTGAATAATTACTATTAGTTTGAGTACAGTTCATACCTATTACAATTTAGAATCATATGTCATAGATTTTAGATTGAATGGCTGACTAACTAAGGCATTTTTATATTCACTTTAAAAATGGGTCACAGTACTTGTTTATAATTCTAACACATTTAATTAGTGAATATTACAATACACTGAGTCAAAACTGTATGGATTAGGGGATCATATAAACTGTGTACTTGAATATTTACATAAAACACCTTACTTTGAAGTTACTCAAAAATTTATGAATTCGCTGAAGTCAGTTATAATGTAGTGGCTCACTACTCAGCTTAAATGTGCACGACTGATTGAGTATATGATGAAATTAATCTTCCTTTCCACTTCCGTATATTATACTTAGGCTAACCCAGTTTGTGCGACTGTAGTAACAAAAAGGCCGAACATGGTTTCTTGGATTAATTAATTTCATGCAATCATTTATGCAGAAAAACGTGAGGAGGAAAGCGTACAAGCAAAACGATGCGAATTGGAGAAGGATAGTGAGCCAACTCCAAGAGACAAAGCATGACTAAGAATTTATAGTCGGACAAAAATAAGACAGACATATAGTAAGCTAAATAGGCATGCACAGACATGATTACAAGCGACGAATGAATGACAAGGTCAAAAGACAAGTGGAACAAGTCATGTGAGCTAGACATTGAATGATTGACTCAATACAATGATTTGATGATCCTTCAGTGTTTAGCTTTATGAGACTGTTTTCCTGGACCTCTAATTAGAAAGCTTGACCTGTCAAACCATCCACAGTCATGAATAAAACAGTTAGCAATAAATATCATAAAATGAGTGTTTCGACGTTAATTATCGTAAGTTCACTGAATTTTGAAGCAATAGACACCTGGACTCTAACTCATTGACTAGATGATGATGTTATGAATTCACTGTAAATAACTGAATCTTCAAGGAACACAGATGAACAATTTTCAACTAGAACACAGCAGATTACTTACTTACTTACTTAAGCCTGTTACCCCCAATCGAGCATAGGCCGCCCACCAGTTTTCTCCAACCAACTCTGTCCTGGGCATCCCTCTCCAATTCTGTCCAATGTTTGTTCATTCTTCTCATATCTTTCTCTATTTCTTGGCGTAGTGTGTTCCTTGGCCTTCCTCTTTTCCTTTTGCCTTGAGGGTTCCATGTGAAGGCTTGTCTCGTGACGCAGTTGGGTGCTTTTCGTAGTGTGTGTCCTGTCCACTTCCACCGCTTCTTCCTGATTTCCTCCTCCACTGGTATCTGACTTGTTCTCTCCCACAGCTCGTTGTTGCTGGTGGTGTCTGGCCAACTAATACGAAGTATTTTGCGTAGACAACTGTTAATAAATACTTGTATCTTCTGGATGATGGCTTTCGTAGTTATCCCCTTTTCCACTCCATACAGTAGAACTGTCTTCACATTTGTATTGAAAATCCTGATTTTGGTTTTGTTTGAAAGTTGTTTGGAGTTCCAGATAGCTTTCAACTGTAGAAATGCAACCCTCGCTTTGCTAATCCGCGCCCTCACATCTGCATCCGATCCACCTTTCTCGTCGATGATGCTGCCCAGATATGTAAACGTGTTAACGTCCTCGAAAGCATCTGCATCAAGCGTGATTTGGTTGGTGCATGTTGTGTTGCATCGGAGAATTTTGCTTTTTCCTTCATGTATGTTGAGACCTACTGCTGCAGAGGCTGCTGTTACACTGGTCGTCTTCTCTTGCATTTGTTGTTGAGTGTGCGATAGAAGAGCCAAGTCATCTGCGAAGTCCAGATCGTCCACCTGCATCCTAACTGTCCGGTTGATACCGTACTTCTCTCCAGATGTTGACGTCTTCATAATCCAGTTGATGACCAGGAGAAAGAGAAAGTGTGAGAGTAAGCAACCTTGCCTGACACCGGTCTTCACCTCAAAAGAGTCTGTCAGCTGACCTCCGTGCACGATTTTGCAGTTGAATCCATCATAAGAATTCCGTATGATGTTGACGATCTTCTCAGGCACACCGTAGTGCAGAGGAAGCCTCCAGAGTGTTTTCCTATCCACGCTATCGAATGCTTTCTCGTAGTCAATGGTGTTGATGTAGAGTGGTGAGTTCCATTCAATTGATTGTTCCACAATGATCCGTAATGTCGCAATTTGGTCAGTACACGATCGATCCTTACGAAATCCGGCCTGTTGATCTCGAAGTTGGGCGTCTACGAAGTCCTTCATTCTGTTTAACAATACTCTGTTGAAGACTTTGCCTGGTATTGAAAGAAGAGTGATGCCTCTGTAGTCCTCACACTTGCTCAGATCACCTTTCTTTGGTATTTTGATCAGGTATCCTTCTTTCCAATCTGATGGTACTTGTTCCTCATCCCAAATCTTCTTGAAGAGGATGTGAAATATTTTCGCAGTTGCTTCTACATCAGAACACAGCAGATGTTCAATATTAAATGTTTTGCAATTCTCAATGGTGCTTCCCAGATACCCCTCTCTTTGATAGACATCCACTGCAAACTACTCTAATCTTTTAATAAGACACTTTACAAAAGAATAATATGCGTATAATCTTTTACATTAAAATGATTTATAACTAACGAATTAAATTAATGTTATTATTCCATGTCACATGACAGAGTTGGAAAAAAATCATTTTTCTCTTGTCTTTAGTATAGCGTTTATAGCATTGATGGTCAGTAAA